CTGGAATGCGTGCATCCTTCGGTGCACGCGCCCCACGTATGCCTTCGCGAGTCGCCGGCTACGGGGGAGACTGATAGTGGAAAATGGGACGAGGGGGAAGGGAAGGCGACGACATTGAGGCCGTATGGAAACAAGATCTGAAGCTATACGAGGACAAGCATCGGCTTCACGCAGACGCACGAATGGCTGGGCGCCCGGAAAAATGCCCTGGCCATTTCGACCACCATCGCCTTCGTCCGTCGACCGAATTCCTTCGCTGTCGTCCTCGCCGTCGCGCGTCGTCCGCCGCCATCTCCTCGCTATCGCCGTCGCCATCGCCATCATCATAATCGTCCGTCCTCTGTTGTCCCCATCGCCGTCGCCCTCGCCGTCGCCGTCGTCAACGTGGATGGCGACGACCACCTGGAGGGAGTCCCAAGGGGCCGAAGGAGGGGAGAGGGAGACAAGGCCTAGGCCAGTGCCCCCTTCGCGCGCGCGCGTGAGAAGGGGAGGAGCAAGGATAGAGTTAAAGGGAGCATGGAGGAGGGAAAGGGACGTCGTCGTCGTCGTCGTGGTCGTCGTCAACATTATCATCATCATCATCATCATCATCATCATCATCATCATCATCATCATCATCAGCAGCAGCAGCAGCAGCAGCATCAGCATCATCATCATCATCATCATCATCATCATCATCATCATCAGCATCATCATCATCATCATCATCATCATCATCATCATCATCATCATCATCAATCATCATCATCATCATCATCATCATCATCATCATCATCATCATCATCATCATCATCATCATCATCGTCATCATCCTCATCATCATGATCATAACCACAATCATCATCATCATCATCATCACCATCACCATCACCATCATCATCATCATCATCATCATCATCATCATCGGCATCAGCATCATCCTCATCATCATCATCGTCGTCATCATCATAATCATCATCGTCAGCAGTATCATCCTCATCATAATATCATCATCATCATCATCATCATCATCATCATCATCATCATCATCATCATCATCATTATCAGCATCATCGCCAACATGATCATCATAATCATCATCATCAGCATCAGCAGCAGCAGCAGCATCAGCATAATCATCATCATCATCATCATCATCCTCATCATCATGATCATAACCACAATCATCATCATCATCATCACCATCACCATCACCATCACCATCATCATCATCATCATCATCATCATCATCATCAGCACCATCGCAATTGTAAACATCATCTTTAGCAGCAGCATGATCATCCTGATCATCCTCCTCATCATCAGCATCATCGTTGTCATCGTCATCAGCATCATCATCAGTAGCAGCCATATAATCGACATCAGCATCAACATCATCATCATCATCAGCATCATCATCATCATCGTCATCGTCGTCCTCAGCGTCATCCTCAGCATCGTCATCATCATCAGCATCATCATCGTCATCGTCATCGGCATCATCATCGTCATCATCATCATCGTCATCGTCGTCCTCAGCGTCATCCTCAGCATCTTCATCATCATCATCATCAGCATCATCATCGTCATCGTCATCGGCATCATCATCGTCATCATCAGCAGCAATATCATCAGCATCATCAGCATCATCGTCGACATCACCATCAGAATCAGCATCAGCATCATCAGCATCACCATCATCATCTTCAATACCAGCATCATCATCATCATCCTCATCATCATCATCATCAGCATCAGCATCATCATCGGCATCCTCCTCATCATCATTAGCATCATTATCATCATCAGCATTAGCATCAGCATCAGCATCATCATCAGCATCATCATCGGCATCAACAAGATCATCTAAATCCGATTTCGCCACCTTCTCCTCCGACTCCTACCCCTCCTCCTCCAATTTAAGCTTCGACTCCAACTCAAACTCCTCTTCCTCCTCAGTCCCCTCCTCGCCCTCCTCCTCATCGCACTCACCATTATCATCATCAGCAGCAGCATCATCATCAGCATCATCATCGTCATCATCATCAGCAGCAGCATCAGCATCATCATCAGCAGCATCATCAGCAACATCAGCATCATCATAACCAGAATCGTAATCATCACAAGCCTCATCCTCATGCTAGTCCTCGTCCTCACCCTCATCAGCATCATCCTCATCATCCTCAGCATCATCCTTATCATCAGCGTCAGCAGCAGCATCAGCAGCATCAGCATCACCACCAGCACGAACATCGTCATCGTCATCGACGCCACCGTCGTCACCAGCATAAGCATCAGCAGCATCATCATCATCATCGTCAGAAGAAGACCAACCTCAACGTCAACATCACTATCAACAGCCGCAGCAGCAGAATCGTCAACGTCATCACAATCATCATCGGCAGCAGCAACAACAACACCATCATCATCAGCAGCAGCATCAGCATCAGCATTAGCTTCATCATCATCGTCATCATTGTCACAATCAACAGCATCGTCATGATGATCATCATCAGCAGCATCAGCATCAACCTCAGCATCAAAAAGAAAATCATCAGCATCATCATCAGCATCATCATCAGCATCATAATCATCATCAGCAGCATCACAATCATAGTCATCGTCATCATCCTCAACCTGGTCCTCATCATCATCAAAGTTATCCTCATCCTCATCATCCTCATCATCATGGTCGTCAGCAGCAGCAGCATCGTTGTCAGCATCATCATCCTCATCATCGTCACAATTTCCATCACCATCACCATGACCATCGCGAGGCGGCGGAACATGCAGAGAAGCGTGACGAAGCTAGGTCGTTCTCAGGACCGCAGCAGCCGGACACAGAGAGAGAGAGGGGAAGAGAGAGAGAGAGAAAGAAAGAAAGAAACAGCACGCGCCCGCCGTGAGGAGCTGCTCGTCCAGCCAGTCGGCGCGAGAGAAGGCTCGGAGCAGGTAGCACAGGTCGGGCTCGTAGGTGTCGCTGACCTCGGACAGGCCCCTCCCCTGCCTCAACTACCACCACAAGAAGAGGGAGGAGAGCGGCGGCAGCAGGATTGAGGCTTCCGGTCGTTCGCGACCTGCCCAGCGCCTCCAGGGGCCTCCTGGCCCCTGGGATGGCCTCCAGGGCCCCGAAGGGGTCCTTGTGATCCACGTGGTCGTTCTGCTCGCTCCTCCCTGCTTTCTTGCCCTCGTTTACCTTCCCCTGCGCCTCCTTCCGAAAGTATACGCACAAAATCAAGCATGCACAGGACCAACCCTTCATCCTCCTCCTCCTTCTCCATCTCCTCCTCCTACTCCTTCTCCTTCTCTTACTCTACTACTATTACCACCACCACCACCACTACTACCACTACTACTACTACTACTACTACTACTACTACTACTACTACTATTATTACTACTACTACTACTACTACTACTACTACTACTACTACTACTACTACTCCTACTACTACTACTACTACTACTACTACTACTACTACTACTACTACTACTACTACTACTACTACTACTACGACTACGAATACGACTACGACTACTACTACTACTACTACTACTACTACTACTACTACTACTACTACTACTACTACTACTACTACTACTACTACGACTACTACTAACTACTACGACTACTACTACTACTACTGCTACCACTACTACTACTACTACTGCTGCTGCTGCTTCTACTACTACTACTACTACTACTACACTACTACTACTTACTAACTAACGACTTACTGCCTACTACTAAACTACTACTACAACTACTGACAACTACAACTAACTACTAACGACTACGACTACGAATACTGACTACAAACTGACAACTACTAACTAACTACTACTACTACATAACTAAACTACACTACTACTACTACTACGAACTACACTACTACTAACTACTGCGGCCGCTGCTGCTGCTGCTGCTTCTTCTTCTTGCTTCTTCTTCTGCTTCATCTTCTTCTTTATTCTCCTTCTTCTTCTTCTTTCCTTCTTCTTCCTTCTTCTTCTTCTTCTTCTTCTTCTCCTACGACAAGCTACAACTACTACTACTACTACTACAATTACTACCACTACTGCTGTTGCTACTACTACTACTACTACTACTACTACTACTACTACTACTACTACTACTACTACTACTACTACGACTACTACTACTACTACTACTACTACTACTACTACTACTACTACTACTACTAACTAACTAACTAACTAACTAACTAACTACTACTACTACTACTAATACTACTACTACTACTACTACTACTACTACTACTACAAACTACTAACTACTAACTACTACTACTAACTACTACTACTAACTACTACTACTAACTACTACTACTAACTACTACTACTACTACTACTACTACTACTACTACTACTACTACTACTACTACTACTACTACTACTACTACTACTACTACTA